CCAATGATTTTAAAATGCATGGGTAAAATACCCACAACACCAAAAGCTTATCTGGAGCTCTGATATTTTGATCATAACATGGTTTAAGTCAGAGATCACGAGAATGTGTTGATTCTAGTAGTAAAATCCAGACATTCTAGTGATTTCTCCATAACATAACCCATAAGGCCAGCAAACCAATGGTTGATAGCATGAACAACAATCCACCTCGTTGGAGTGTGATGACCCACGATCAGCCAGGTCACAGAGTTTAACCACCCAATCCTCACTAGTTGCCCCTGACGACAAGCACAGGGAAGTGCATGTATTTTGCCCGCAATTTGTCATAGCCAGCGTGTTAATATAAACCCATGGAACAAGTCCACTTCGGGACAATATCGTGAGTTTTCTTCCATAACCTAACTTCATCTTAATGATTTCACTACAGACACGTCATAAATGTTTCAAATAAAACCTCGACATAAACCAAACTGTCTCTCACATTTAATCACCCACGTTATTAAACCAACCACCAAAACACATCTCAAAGACAAGTTGCTCATTCTTTCTTCATCCAAGCACCATTAAAATATCAAAGTGATAAAGTAATGTAATAAAATGTTGAACATAACGACCTAATCATCACAGCCGAACATCCCCGAATCGATCTTGGATCTTCATCACGACGGAGATGGCCATGGCCAGTATTGGCCACACAGACATTACACTAAATGTGCGGTGATAGAGGTTATGGCACATCGTAACCAGACTGTTCTCGTTAACTTAACATAAATTGTTCCACGAGTGAAGTCACAGATTGTTCTGGACAGGAAAATTGCTGACGAAGTATCGGCTTGCCATGATGCTTAGTGCCATCACCGATACTTTCAATCATCACCGATATCCTGCAGGTTCATAATGAACAGTCGACGGCCATTAGGGGTTCAGTAATTAGTCGGCCCTGTCTGGAAGGATGGAGCATGTTTTTTGGGTCAGTGACGGAGCCTGTCTGTACTGACTTTCAGTGTGGTATATACTCAAATTTGACCTTGAGTTTACCATATGACTTCGACCATAACTAAAGCTGAAGCTTCTGATGTCCATCATGTTGTCTCTATTACCATGACTACAAAGCCATTTATATTATAAATGAAATTTGGTCCGTGTGGAATCAAAATTGGAGCCAAACATACATGTTCGGTTTCATGCGATATCTTAAACTGTGACCTTTATTTGACCTTTGACCTTTGACCTAAATTCTCTCCAAATGCTTTTCCTGGCACTGTAAACATCTCTACAGAAACCTCTGTTTTTTGGAATGGCCAGTGTTTACCTGTTCGGGGTTGCATGATTAGAAAACACATTCCGACTGTCACATTCCCGATGTAAGCAACACTCTTATTGGTCGGGTGAGAGGTCGTTCTGACCTGACCTGTAATAGGATGTCCTCAGATCTATGTGTAACAATAGTGAGAAGGAAGATTAATATTAATGAGATTGGGTATTACACAGTGACCTCTGACCTTGCATGAAACATCACAAGTCTGTGTGCACAAACTACCACAATAATAACACACAATTGGGATCAATGACATGCATCAACCAAGTCAGCGAGCCTGACCACCCGATCCCGTTAGTCGCATTTCACGACAAGCATAGTCGCCTTTTACAGCAAGCATGGGTTGCTGAAGACCTATTCTACCCCGGATCTTCACAGGTCAGCTACTGAGTAAAGCACATGCTTCCAGGATGTTCAGTGGAACTGATTTATGAACATAATGTAAAAGTTGTTTACGCTTTCAGCTTCCTAGAATGTGAATTAACTATTATCACGCCTCCATGTTAGAATGAATCTGACTGGTTTACGTGATCTTAATCAAATACTATGTATCCTGCCAGGGACGGAATTAAATTTCTGAGCAGGAGTATAAATCCCTTATACCCCGCCAAGAAGAAGACAGGCTGAAGACATTGATTTCTGCGAGGGAGAAAATCCCTTATACTCTGCTTCAAAGCAGAAATCTGCACACATTTTCCATGTCAATGAAAGTCCCGTGACACTCTACAGGTTAACCTCAGCTCAATTGAACAGCTGTTTTCCATCAATTTTCAATTTGTCTTAATTCTTTTACAATGGCAGATGTTGGTATGATAAATTTATTGTAGCAGTATTGTGAGGGGTACATGGGGTTTTATGCATCCCTTGTTGCCATAAAACCTAACGCGGGTTGCACAAAACCCCATGTACCCCTCGTGATCCCGCTACAACTTATAATAACCCGACTGCATCATACCAAGGGACGTTAGTTTCGTCTCAGTTCAAAAAAATAATAAAAATCTAATTTTGATGTTCTAAGATCGTATTCAATACAATAATGTGAAACAAAGCATTAAAACCTATTTCTCCTTATTTGTCCTGTTAATACAAGTCACCTTACAAAGCCAAACCTTAGTTATTACTATATTAAAATGACATGGGAAGTCCAATTTGGGAAGTTTCATGGACATTTGCTGCAGACTTGGGGATGAATATCAGGCTCAGTACAGGTCTAGATAAATCCCCATTTGATTCATCACCAGTTCAAGTTCCTCTGAATAATAAAGCCCTGGAAAACCCCGATATAAAGAATGAAAATCTCATTCCACTTCGCCCTGCAACATATTTGGAACAGCTGCTCCCAAAATTAAGATTAATGTTAAAATGTCCCAAAATAATCCTACACATCCCAATCAGCAGCCATTTTGACTTTGAGCAGATAACCACAGCATGCTCAGAATTGTTGGTGTTCCCGCAGATAAACAAAGATAAACAATCCACACTGGAATTTCAATTTTAAAACAATAAAATTCACACACAATGAGTCATGGCCCTAAACTGAAGTTACACTGAAGCCAGAAATGACATACAAGTTGTCTCAAAATAACTGCGAATGAAAAGTCGGATAATTGGCAGAAATTCAAGATGGCTGCCAAAAGGACAGACATGACCAGTAACTGGGCTCTATTTACAGTTACGATGACGTACATGATCTCAATTCATGAGCACCTTGCAGACGTAAATATGAGTTGATCGGAAACACCTGCATGATGTATAATTAAAGAGTAGTCCTATCTTTGCAGATTATATTTTTTCTAAATTGTACACGTAATCCTGTTTTGTAGCTTTCATTATCATGGTTGATAAGTGGCCTCATTCCTAGATTTAAGTTCTAAATCCTGCAAAACAATTTCAATCTTAATTTCAGATATGCAATAATTGCCTACAAATAACTGCACTTAAAGTGGAAGATGAAAGATCTAGTTTTTTCTGCAATCTACCGGTATGATATTTTAGAGCCATTCTATTTAGATCCCGCGGGGCCATACATGTTAAGATTATTCATATCCGGTCATTTATCCTTCATTGGCAATTATCGTAATGTTAATTAAAAAAAAATATTTAAGAAACAAATCATTTTTAAAAAGACATGAATTTTTATATGTTAGCATTATATTTTATCATCTGAATAAATGAATGACTGTATTCACTGTAAAAATTGTCAAGGGACTCGTAAATTAACTAAGTGGGCGATTATTAAAACCATTAGTTGAATTTGTTTCCAGAGGGTCGAGCAGGTGTGGACAAACTAAAAACTTTTTCGAAAATAGTAACTGGGCAAATTATACCCCCTTCTGTTGGGTTTTCAGAAGAAAAAAAAATTTGGTCCTATATGGGGGCCCAAATAAAGATTACTGACGGATTGTGCTTAATAAGGTGAATACGGTATTGGGAGGTACAAATCTGAAATAATATCCATGTATATGGAGGAGGAGGCACAGGGGGCCCCAGTCATCTAAGACACCGCCATTTACTGTACAGAGTTGCATCCCTTTGACACACCAGGAATGTATGATTGTTAGTTCGAATCCCGGTTCACCATGATTATGCTTCAAGGTTTGTCAGCACAATACCTGTGCTCATGGGTTTCACCAAGAGTTCAACATCTAAGACCTGAATCACTTTCATCCCACATCAAGTGACATGCCATGATATAAATGAAATACTTTTCAAAGGGACACTAAATCAACTTTACTCACTCACTCACTCACGCATAAGATTGAGGAGGCTTGTTATATGTAGAGTTGGCTCCCACGCACCTTTTGGAAGCACACTAATATGGAAAGTCATAAGAAAATAAAAGTTTGTGATGGAAGAAATGAAACTCCACAAACACATAAACAAATAGGTCAACAATAACTTCTCAGACTGCTTAGTCAATGATAAAAACAAAAATAACTGTACACAACAATACAAAATCATTGACTTTGTTCAGCGCAATAATCACTGATGATGGAACACAAGCCCTGCTCGTTCTATTATCAGCCATTATCGAAACTTTGGCAAGCATGGCCTAAGTTTGGGGGTATTTATGGAATAATTGTGAAAAACTTGAATGGTTAGTCAATCAAATACCATGGAATCAAGTGCAACATATTCACATGTTTTCAACAATAGTCACACACTACCAATTTCAAATTGGTTAACTGTTTACTAATTAGAGTTGTATGTAAAGTGCTCCCATCGACCCCTCTACCATTTTTCATTAAAAAATGTATTCATGTATGCATGGTAGTGAGTGAGTGAGTTGGGTTTTACACCGTTTTTAGCAAGACAACAGAAATGGGCTTCATACATAGTACCCATGTTGGGAATCGAACACAGCCTTCAGCATGACGAGCAAACGCTTTACCCACTAGGCTACCCCACCAACCCCTATAAATAGTATGCCCTATTTATATCTTAGTGTAATATGTCAATAGCTGTCAAATAGTTGTTGGAGGAAATAATGTAAAAAAATGCCACCATCAATCAGGTCAGAGTGACCCAGCTGACCGCGGAACGTGTAGCCCGTGCAAAACATGTACTTTGATCGCCAGATATCTCTGTCGCATGTCGAAAATGACAATGTTAACAAAACCTTCATAGAAAAAATACATCATAGTATCACGAACTTATAGAGTTGATCATGTAATGAACTCACCGAATCTTCTCTGTCGGTGTATTCCAACTTCTCAATCTTCACACGCCATTTCTTGTCGCGTGCTCTTCTCGCCATCACGTGACCTCAACTCGACGACAACGGTATCAACTCAACAGGTGTGATGTCATCAGTCTTGAAACGTCATGCACCCAAAACCTCTGCGTGACGAATAAAACAACAACTTGTTCTGAACAGTTTGTTTACCTGCCACTTGACATTGGCTCAGACTATCGCCTTGGGCGCGTGAACTCTACAATTTCGCACGTGAACTGCCTTTGCTAGTGTCGGATGTCGTTCATTGAGAGATTTGCCACACCTGGCGAACAGTCACGTGTAACACATCAACCATTTCACACGCAAAGCATGGTATTTACTAGTTTTTCTAACAGAAAGGCCAGAAGAAAGTCAATCGCCACTAACTTCCTGGCCCCGGAAACTCTAAGATGTTTGGCATGGGCGAGTCCACTTTGGAAGCGGTGGGGTACAGGTAAATTTATGACTCGGCTCTTTACCTTAAAACGTTAAATATTTAAATGAAAAATATCGATTATTATGTTTCCGACTGTCACCAGTAAACTCGAATTGAAGAAAGAACGAAACATGTGTTTCGTATCAATGCGTAATAAACCATGACCCCTTCAGGAATGTCCCAAGATCTATGCGCATCTTGAATACCGCGTCGAGCGAGAGCACCTTGGGTGAATGTGTCTTGGGTTGTGTGGAGATATTAACGCCGCCTGCAGACGCACAGGTGGGGTTGGGCAACGTAGGAACATTCAAATATCATTTCACGTTGGCCACGAATAGATACCATTCTGCCTTCTTTCGGATCATAATCACACAGCAGCCATTTTAAATGCTTACATGAGAACAGTGCTTGGATTCTCGAACTTGAATCGTTGAACTGTGTGTTCACAGGAACGCGTTACTACTGTTCTATACTAACAACCTCGCCGGCCTCGACTTCAAGTTTGTTGGTATAGAATATTACTTACATGGTCCTGATGCGTGTTTCACTTGTACTGAACCTAGCTGTTCAAAGAATTCTATAAACTTACTGGCCCATAGTTTAACATCCGTTCGGACCCGCGAAGATCCGGGTCAGAATTTATCTGCAGCAAGCAATGCTTGTCGTAAGAGAAATTGGGATACTATGACATGCAAAAACGGAAGTCGGCGAGCCTGTGTCAGACTCGCCTCTTACGACAAGCACTTATGACAAGCATTGGTTACTGAAGACCAATTCTAACCCGGATCTTCACGGGTTTGCTGAGAATGGGATGAGTATAGGCTGCTAGTGCTGAGAATTGGATGAGTATAGTGCTGGGAATTGGATGAGTATAGGCTGCTAGTGCTGAGAATGGGATAAGTATAGGCTGCTAGTGCTGAGAATGGGATGAGTATAGTGCTGGGAATTGGATGAGTATAGGCTGCTAGTGCTGAGAATGGGATGAGTATAGGCTTCTGGTGCTGAGAATGGGATGAGTATAGGCTGCTAGTGCTGAGAATTGGATGAGTATAGTGCTGGGAATTGGATGAGTATAGGCTGCTAGTGCTGAGAATGGGATGAGTATAGGCTTCTGGTGCTGAGAATGGGATGAGTATAGGCTGCTAGTGCTGAGAATTGGATGAGTATAGTGCTGGGAATTGGATGAGTATAGGCTGCTAGTGCTGAGAATTTGATGAATATAGGCTGAGAATGGGATGAGTATAGGCTGCTGGTGCTGAGAAAGGGATGAGTATAGGCTGCTAAATCTGAGAATGGGATGAGTATAGGCTGCTAGTGCTAAGAAAGGGATGAGTATAGGCTGCTAAATCTGAGAATGGGATGAGTATAGGCTGCTAGTGCTGAGAAGGGGATGAGTATAGGCTTCTGGTGCTGATAATGGGATGAGTATAGGCTGCTAGTGCTGGGAATTGGATGAGTATAGTGCTGGGAATTGGATGAGTATAGGCTGCTAGTGCTGAGAATGGGATGAGTATAGGCTGCTAGTGCTGAGAATGGGATGAGTATAGTGCTGGGAATTGGATGAGTATAGGCTGCTAGTGCTGAGAATGGGATAAGTATAGGCTGCTAGTGCTGAGAATGGGATGAGTATAGTGCTGGGAATTGGATGAGTATAGGCTGCTAGTGCTGAGAATGGGATGAGTATAGGCTGCTAGTGCTGAGAATGGGATGAGTATGGGCTGAGAATGGGATGTGTGTATAGGCTGCTAATACTAAGAAAGGGATGAGTATAGGCTGCTAGTGCTAAGAAAGGGATGAGTATAGGCTGCTAGTGCTGAGAAAGGGATGAGTATAGTGCTGCTAGTTCTGAGAAAGGGATGGGTATAGTGCTGAGAAAGGGATGGGTATAGACTGCTAGAGATGAGAAGGGGATGGGTATAGGCTGCTAGGGCTGAGAATTGGATGAGTATAGGCTGCTAGTGCTGAGAAAGGGATGAGTATAGTGCTGCTAGTTCTGAGAAAGGGATGGGTATAGTGCTGAGAAAGGGATGGGTATAGACTGCTAGAGATGAGAAGGGGATGGGTATAGGCTGCTAGGGCTGAGAATGGGATGAGTATAGGCTTCTGGTGCTGATAATGGGATGAGTATAGGCTGCTAGTGCTGAGAATTGGATGAGTATAGTGCTGGGAATTGGATGAGTATAGGCTGCTAGTGCTGAGAATGGGATAAGTATAGGCTGCTAGTGCTGAGAATGGGATGAGTATAGTGCTGGGAATTGGATGAGTATAGGCTGCTAGTGCTGAGAATGGGATGAGTATAGGCTGCTAGTGCTGAGAATGGGATGAGTATGGGCTGAGAATGGGATGTGTGTATAGGCTGCTAATACTAAGAAAGGGATGAGTATAGGCTGCTAGATCTGAGAATGGGATGCGTATAGGCTGCTAGTGATAAGAAAGGGATGAGTATAGACTGCTAGTGCTAAGAAAGGGATGAGTATAGGCTGCTAGTGCTAAGAAAGGGATGAGTATAGGCTGCTAGTGCTGAGAAAGGGATGAGTATAGTGCTGCTAGTTCTGAGAAAGGGATGGGTATAGTGCTGAGAAAGGGATGGGTATAGACTGCTAGAGATGAGAAGGGGATGGGTATAGGCTGCTAGGGCTGAGAAAGGGATGAGTATAGGCTGCTAGACATGAGAATGGGATGAGTATAGTGCTGAGAGTGGAATGAGTATAGGCTGCTAAAATTGAGAAGAGGAATGTTTGATTTAATAGTTTCTCTTGGCTCTGTGGGATAGACCAGCTTGATTAAACGAGTGAGTGGGCGAGTATGGCTTAACACCCTTTGTAGTAATACTCCGGCAATATCACGGAAGGGACATCAGAAATGGTACCCGTGTAGGGAGAATCGAACCCGGGCCTTCGTCGACTAGCGAATGTTTTAACCACTAGACTACCCCACCGCCCCTTTGTAACACGAGGTAAACACCCCCAAATAACACCTTAATATTTTTTAGATACATTCAAAGTCATCAGTGAGTCCGCCATCCTAGTCCGATCGTCTTTGGCGGTACAAACTCCAACTGGTCCCCATTGGAGTTAAGAATTCAAAATGTGAGCTAAGCAAATCCAGGATCCGCCTCTGAACCCGAGCGAGTATAGTTTTACGCCGCTTTTAGGAATAATCCTGCAATATCATGGTGGGGCACCAAAAATAGGCTTCAAACTTTGCACCCGTTGTGGAATCGAACCCGGGCCTTCGGCGAACGCTTTAACCACTAGACTACCCTACCCTACCCCCTACCCCCCAAGCTAAGACAAACACCAACGTTGTCTTAACACATACCGTCAACAGTACCTTTAAATAAGGAACTCGGTGAATGGCAATATCTCATATTATACAAGAGCCTGTGCCTTTTAGTACATTCTGATAAAAAAGGACATTTCCATAATCAGAACAAATCTCTACTAAGTCCATTGTACGATTCCGACTATATTATAAGCATGTGTTTATGAATCACTATCAAAAAAGAAAAGATGAGCGTATCCTGACCCACCGGTGGCAGTCGTCACAAACGCATGCAAAGGTAAGTCAAATGTTCACCTGAAAATACCAAGGGAACATACAGTACAGTCAAAATAAGGAAGTGCGCAGGACATAATTGTTGGCATTGATGCGTTAAATTCAGAAATGTCCTCCACGCCCACCACCTTTTGAAAGTTTTGCCAAGGCCTTGAATGTTGTAGCCATGATCAAACACCATTTGAGCAAGTGTTTCATGACGCTTTTCGAAATCTTCGTAGAAAGAGGGGGCACGGGTGGCCTAGTCGTCTAAGGCGCCGCGATTCGCTGTGCAGACTTGCGTCCCTTGGGCACGCCAGAAACCTATGATTGAGGGTTCGAATCCCGGTTCGCCCCGATTATGTTTCTAGGGTTGTCAGCACCACACCCGTGCTCGTGGGTTTCACCCAAGTGGTAAACGTCTGAGACCTGCATCACTTCGGGCTTTCCTCCCACATTTAGCTGACACGCAGCGATATAACTGTAATAATGTTAAAAGCGGCGTTAAACCAAACTCACTCACTCACTCGTAGAAAGAGCATGCTCGGGTGTAAACTTTGAAAGGTAGACCCCACAGGTTGATCAAATTCTTACATGCATATTACAAAATCCAGCGTGCATAAAACTGAACCATTACAATATGTTTATGAAGTAGGACATTTTATCAGGTGAACAACTGACTTGCCTTTGCATGTGTTTGTGACAGTTGCCACCGGTTGGGCAGGATACGCTCACATTTTCGCACCTGGTATCATCACTATTTCATAGTGATTTATAAACACATGCTCATGATATAGTCGGAATCGTACAATCGACACTGCTTTCAGCAGAGATTTCTATTGAATATTTTTATTATAGATATTTTTAGTCATTTTCTGTACGCTCACGTATTGTTATTTCGTATACTTCTAATGATGGAGTTTACATTATAAAATGAGTCATTTCAATGATGAATAACCGTTCCAATATGGCGAACTAGATATCCGCCTCCGAGGTACAGTTCCGAAATGATAAGACCGATATGTTCAGATTGAAAGGTACACGCGCGGACTCAAACCGTTGGAAACATGAAGGCTGATAAGGTACGTCCAGGAATTTTGTGTTAAAAACAAACAAATAAACAGTGAGTCACTGATAACATATCAGAATGCAACAGCAAACTAACAGACAATGTTATCTTCAGGATAAGGGGCAATTCCAGAAGTTGGGAGATACTTCAAAACTTGAAGTGGATGTGCCAGCTTAAAACGGAAGGCATACAATGTATACTCGTTCGTCAAAGTTTATTTTTTAAATGTCTTTAAAAGTTTTTAAAATTTTTAAAACTGTCTTTGGCTTATTGCGGGAATGGGCGAGTTGGGTTCGGCGTCGCATTTAGTTTTGGTTTGGTTTGGTTTGTTGTTTTATGCCGCACTCACCAATATTCCAG